TGCACCCTTATATGGCCATATATGGTTTACAAAAACCAAAGTCTGATAACTGACAAAATATTATCGATGCTACAAAAAAATATATATACTTAAAATAACTATTTTGAACTCTCAACTTAAAAGTACACAAACATAATATATTATAAGGAGTGTAGTGTACGTGAACATTAATATTCAAAATTGGTACGACCTGTTCGTAGTTGGGGCCCTGGTAGAGTGTGTCTCCGAATGGGTTGGCTTCTGATGTTGAAGTCTCCTACCATGTCAGATTATACAGGATGGCTTTTAAATAACGTAAGAACTTGCCATTATCCAAAACAAGTTCAGGGTAAAAAACCATTCCTTTATAACAAATCTGACATAAAAAGTCTTACAAAAAACTCCAACATAAAAACCCTAAAAAAAATATGGTATGAGGCCCAAGCATCTAAAAAAACTATTAACCGCCTAACTTACCCTTGTTTAAAGGAGTTTTTATAACTATACAACGTCAGGACTGCATAAAGACCAAAAATGAGGGAATAACACAACCCTAAAATGGAGAACCTCGTGGATAAAACATTTAATTTCAGCAACAGGTCAAAAACTCACCCAGAGCTCATCGTACCATTCTAAAAGTGTTTTAGTCGGAATTATACAAGTAGATTGAGAGATTTACCATGTGTTATTGGAAATTTTCCATAATTTAAGCACAAACTTAACTCTCATCTAAACTCTTCAACGACTAAATTATAAAAGGAAGCTCAACTCAAAATCTGATGCGTAGAAAACCTAAGTGCGTAGAAGACCTGCTGGAAAAGTCTCGAACCCAATAAAATCCCAACATTGTTGCCTATGTTAACAGACATTTCCCCAAAGAATTCCCACAAATTCTACCAGGACCCAAACTTCAACCGTCAATACTCCCTCAGCCACACTTGCACTGATACGCCCCTAGTAACATACTCAAAAACCCAAATACATACCCCCCTAAACGCAATCATTTGGAAAATTCCCTCCACTGACACTAAATTGTCAATAACGGCAAACCAGCCATCAAAATGAATATATTAATTATAATTATCATTATTACTACATCAACCAACATCACACGGAAGTGTTTGTGTTGCATACTATCAAATTACAGTTTTTGAATAAAATTAAAAGAACTGGCTTAAAAAGAGTTTTAAATACCGGCAATGCTATTCATGTGTCAGTAAAAGGAATTCCAATAAAACTAATAGATTTTCTTGGAAAGAGGCATTTAAAGCACTAAACAATTATCCTTGTAAAAATTATACTTAACAATTAGTAAAACTAAAAATAAAATACTTAACCGTGTACATCCATACCGTTCTAGATGTAAAAAAAACTATTAAAATAAAATAAATGAGTAACTGTCAAAATGACGGTTACAAGATTAAGTATACCTTTTCGATATTTTATCTTAAAGTCGTATTGCTGAAGGAACAGGCTCCATCGGGACAAACGTCCTGCCGGACTTTTGATGGCGTGTAGCCACTGCAGACTTTGATGATCGGTAGTTACAGTGAAATGATAAGCTACCAAGTATGCATTTTCGGGCGAAGATAATGTACGGCTGGCGTATGCGCATGATCTCCATCGGCCAAGTTCTGTGTCAATGCTACTCCTAGCCCCTCATCGGAGGCGTCGGTTTTTAACAAACGGTTTGGAGAAATCGGGACATGCTAGTACGGGGGCGGAGGTAAGACTGCTTTTCAAGAGTTCTAACGCTTTTTCTTGTTCAGTCGTCCATAGGCAACTGTACGTAAATAATCCCTATTATATTGGAGCTGTGCTTTATAATAAACTTCCCGAAGAAATAAAAAATTGTATCTTTAATAAATTTGTAGCTAAAGTAAAAAACATTTTATCATTGCATGCTTTTTATTCAGTAAATGATTATTTGTTATTTGAATTTTAATTTGTATTTTAATTACTTGTCTATTTTTAACTTAACATTTTATTTATTTTATTTTTTTCTTGTAATCTTTTGACTTGTCCTTTATTATTTTTGTAATCTTTTGGATGAATAAATATATTATTATTATTATTCCCATCGGTGTCCTTTTTTGAACAGACGGTTTAGTGTTTCGGCGCTCTGAGAAAAGGACGGGACAAAACGCCTATATCACGAGGCCATCCCTAAAAATCGGCGCAGGCCACGGATATTAGTCGGGGCGGGAAGTTCACGGATAGAGTTTACTTTATCCAGGTCGGTTTGTATACCATTCGAGGTAACCAAATGCCCTAAATATTTTAGGGATTTAAGGCCAAATTGCCATTTGTCCGGGTTTATTCTTAGTCCGGCGGCACGAAGCCGGTTAAAAACCTCTTTTAGGTTTTGTAAGTGTTCCGGGAACGTCCTGCCTAGGATAATTATATCGTCCAAATAGGCAAAACAAAACGGGTCCAATTCAGTGCCGATTATTCGGTCCATCAGCCGCTGAAAAGTAGCGGGTGCGGAGTGTAACCCAAACGGCATTACGGTAATATACGAGGTTATCGGTTCGTGCAGCTGGTGCAAACGACGGCTGATTTCGGCTTCTAACTCAGTCAGATAGTTCGTCGGAAAATAATGTACCTTAACATTGGTAACAAAATCTTTCCAATTGTTCCAGAACCTTTTATTACGGAACCACAAGGCCGCTTTTCCTTCCAGGATCTGCGGTAATTGGGGTAATAACCGGTCTAACGAGATAGTCTGGGACTCGCAAATTTCCTCCAGGCGTTCGAGGAACGCCACCGGGTCTCCTTTACCGTTAAAAGAGATTTTCCACTTATGCACCTTTATAGTAGCTACAGCTGGAGAGGTAGCTGCGCCCACGGGTATGTTTGGCATTGGTGGCGGGCGCGGAGATATCGGGCGGGAAGTTATTAAGGTTGGAGCTGTCCATGTCGGTACCGTTAAGATAGCGGGTTCCGGGGCTAAGGTATAAACCGGAGCCTGGGATTCGAAATTACCCGTGGAGGTAACTGTCGGGAAATCAAACGGGTCATCGAGGTCGACTGTTATAAACGGGCTCGCACTTCCAACCCAAATTTACCCAGCTCTTCATCTAATTCTGAAGACTTAAGCAGGTAAATCCAGCTGACATGGGCTTCGGAGGCGGGTAGGGGTTCAGAAGGACCATCCTCGACCTCCGGGTCCCCCTGTCGGATCCGTCGTTTGGCCTTTCCCATGAAGTAGGGATTACTACCAAACAATCACGAGTATATCAAAACAAAATTCTTCCAAGGCCTTTAGGTCAAAACTTTTGTCGAAATCGGGTTTAGCGGCCTCAAGTTACCACTAAACGAGGGGCCACACGGCTATGGGGAATCAAACTTTTGCCTAAGGCCCTTTAGGTCAAAATTTTTCCCAAAATCGGGTTCAGCGACCTCAAGTTACCACTAAACGAGGAGTCACACGGCTATATGGAAAAAGATTTTTCTAAGGGCTTTTAGACCAAAGAAAAAAATAAAAAATAAGGACGGGAAGACGGGCGGAACGGTTTGCTAAGAAGTCCCTGCTCTTTGCTAAAAAGTCCCTGCTCGGGCGCCAATTTGTAACGTTGTTTCGGGATTTTGTAACGTTAGTCGTTGTGGCGTGAGCTTACCTTACGGATTTTCTTAAAAAATATCGAGCGCCAGCTTCGTTATTTAAAGTGGAGAAGCACCACGTAGCTGGGTTTGCTTTTAGATAGTGAAGAAAGTATATTCCAGGGGTCAATTAGCTTAGATTACGATTAAAAAGGCAATGGTTTAATTTAATACATGTATTGAAATAAAAATAAAACTCTATATATACAAAACAAATAATAATTTAGACAATAAGGAAAGGTGGAACACTCAGTATATGAAATAGAATTTAAACTGAAGTAATATGAAAATAATATAATATTAAAATTAAATTAAATAAATAAAATAATATTGACACTAAAAGTAAATTAATAAAAAAACGGTAACAATGAATAAAAAAAAACTAAAGGTCACACTTCTAGCAAATTTTAATAAGAAAATACAATTAAATAAACCAATGCTGTAAATGAAATGAAAAATTTCGGGAAGCAAATACTACGGCCTATAACGGATTTTTTAGCAAATCGTCAAATACGGGGCGGGCTAGCGGTGATTAGTCGATTCGCCTGCTTGGTACTGTCTACGGCAGAGCAGATACCGAGCGTTACGGGACACGGGTGGCTTATACACAATGAAAATATTGGTAATAACAATTAGCTTTATGATTATTTACTATAGTTCGGGTTTATGGGGTCGGGCTGACGGGATCAAAAGAGCGGTCTGAACCCCGAAGGGAAGAGCAGAGAGCGTTTTATTGCTGGGTTTTGCCTTTTCCCAGATAGCACAATTAAATCCCAAGGATGTCCTAGGGATATCCTGATAGTATATAGTGTATACAGTGCTTGCAAATCCAAGTCCGACCGGTTTGGGAAGGACGCGTGAAAATAACAAGGATAGAACACCAAACAGAAGGCGCTCTGACCAATCAAATTCTGTTTGGCATTCTATCCTTATTCTTTTCACGCGGGTATTGAACAACCATCCTTCCCAACGCGGTCGGACTTGGATTTGCAAGCACTGTATACCAGGGATATCCGGATTCGTCTATGAACTATCCATAGGATATCCGGAGGATTATTTATATATATAAATACAATTTTTTGTTAGTTTTGTTTAATCTTTGCAAGTTAATAATTTCTTCCAATATATTTCAGACAAATGACATACATTTTCAACTGATAATCAGTAAAAATATGATCAAATGTCCCAAGACTAATAGTTATAATATTATATAAATTACATATATTATATTATTCATACTTTTTTTATCAATTAATGTTAAAAATTTGTAGGTATGGACACAAATAAATGTATGCATAGAAAAAGAAAATGGTTTAAACTGAATGAAAATGATAAACATTTTGAGAATTGGATATATATTTTAAAAAAAATTAAAAATATATAAAAATCAAAAGAACATTCTATTATTTAAAAGTGGATTAAAATTTTTTTGTATCTCTTTCTTCCCTTTCTTTGGCTCGTTTTAGCCAGGCCACAATTGCCTTTTCGCAGTCCTTTTGGGTAGCGGACATTTTTATTTTTTTGTCAGCATCTGAAAAAATAGATACTTTAAATTAAGTTAATGTATATCTTTACTGTTATTAATTTATTATATTTTTTGCTTTTGACTTTATGAACAATGGTAAAAATAAAACACTTTTCCTTACCGATAATCAATTTAGCCAAATTTAGTTTACTGAATTTTTGTTTGTTCTTTTTGCCTTCCCAGTCAGCTTTCAGCACTTGAGAAGGGACCACGCGATAGCGAGTGCTCTTGAAACGTAAAAGGTTAAAGACTAAAACCAACAATAATTTTTAAAATGTGCAAGCCAATTATAGTGAAACAAACAATTTTCATAGAGTGCAAACTAAACTAAACTAAAATGGTGCAACGGTCAATGAAGAGTGAAGTGTTAGGTGATGAATGAGTTAAGTGCCACCTGTCATTGGACGCTTTACACTGGACAAACAAAGGAGGTCAATCAAGAAGGGAGGTGGCCATCCGCAAAAAATTTGATAAGTATCCTTAAGCATATTCATGACCTAACACATAATCTGCAATTTAAATTAAACACGACGATATCTTTAAAACAAGAAAGGCACACTGCGTAGACCAATAAAGCTGTCAACAACAAATAAGGCAAATCCAAACGAGACCAATAATAAACACACAGAATAAACTAACACATTAATCATATAATCTTAACATAGTTTAAAAAAAAGCATAATAATCAAACTCTACTGGATTTGTAAACATTAGATAACAGAATAATTGCGCTTGTCATTTGTTTAACTAATAAATAAATGCATTATTTAATTTTGGAATTTAAGAAAAAAGACAAAACTCTACCACAAAACGTGCTTGGGCAACACAATAACTAATAAAAAAAAAATTGCGGCAATAAACAATTAAAAAAAAAAACACCAAAAGCTACAAGTTACACCCAGCGACTGAACTATCTATTGATGGTTTTTGGCATCAAGACTGAGGACACGGGCAATGACAATAACGAACAAGACGAAGACCTCGACTAGGAAACTTTACCCCTGCAGCGAAATAACAACTCCCGAACTCCAAATAGTAATCCCAAATGTTTGGAGTAATACTAATCGACTGGTCTAGGGGGATTCCGCGTCGTACTTAGTTTTAAGTCGGCGTAATTGTCCCCCAAAAACCAACACCTTCCCGTCCCTCCTCCATACCCTACTGAGCGTATAGCATAGGCTCGGCGAACCCGGGAATGGCTATTAAAACTATTCGCCTCTCGCTCTGGAGCCCCAAATAGGGGACAGTACGGAACGCACCCAGCAAACACGGGTGAAGCCGTGCAGTTGCTGGGGAAGAACAAAAATCGGCGTAAGTAAACATAGGCCTGTACGGGGTTCGAGAGTCAAGAGGAAATGGGGCTGGTTATACGTCTCTTATACTCATACTCATACTTCTTTTTGCCTTCCCAGTTAAATTGTTTAGCGAGGTTGTTGGAAATAATTGGAGTAATGGCTCGCTTAATAAATTCGAAACTACACACATCCTCAAAAGTCTTGGCCCCCCTAGATATTTTAAAAAATAATACAATTAAATTTATAAAATATAGTGGATTCTATTCTTTATTTAAGTACCAAAATAAGTAATACACAAACTTTTTAATTTTCTTTCCGAATAATGCAGAATAAAACAAATAACGAAAAATGTGAGAAAAATTATTTTAAAAAATATTTATTTTAAGAAAAAACTATTACGCGAAGAAAAAAAATTAACTCAGTACTCAGTATGATCTCCTCTTCTTTCAATTAATTGGCCAACACGTCTCGGCATCCCGCGAATCAGGTTATTAATGAAATAATCTGGCATATTGTGCCACTCTTCTTGAACAGCTGTAGTCAAGTCCTGAAGGGTTACAGGTGGATTTTCTTGATTGGATATTGCTCTTCCAAGATAATCCCATACATGTTCAATTGGATTCATGTCTGGTGAGTTTGCTGGCCAGTACATTCTTTGTATATTTACTTCCTGCAGCATGATTTGTACCCTTTGTGTGCGGTGTGGTTCGGCATTATCGTCTTGAAAAATAAAATTTTGCCCAAATTCATTGCGTAAAGGTTGAATAATTGGTTCGATAATGTTTTCAAAGTATATGGTACCTGTCATTGTTCGCTGAATTAAAATAAGGGGGGTACGGCGACCATACATTATACCACCCCAGAAATCACTGATCCGCCTTGATAGGGAACAATTTCTCTGGCGAAAGTAAGTCGTTCTTGCCTGCCTGGACTCCTCCAGACCCTTTCCCGCCGACTATCGCTGTGTAATCTAAATCGTGACTCGTCCGAAAAAAGGACGTTGCGCCATTGTGGTAAAAGCCAATCCCTGTGCTCTTGAGCCCATTGGCGACGTACAGCTCTATGCTGGGGTAAAAGTCTAGGCACTCTTCAAGGTCTTCTTGACCTTAGATTTGATGAATGTAATCTCCTTCCTATGGTACTTGTCGAAACTACCCTGTGGTAAGTTCTCAAAAAATGTGTTCGAAGGGCTGTTACCGTTATTCTTCGGTTTCTTCTGGTGAAATTAGCCATATAATGATCTTCCCTCTCTGAAGTAACTCTGGGTCGACAAGTGACCGGTCTTCGCGCAATGCTACCGGTTTCCATGAAAAGGTTTACTATGCGCCTTACCGAAGTCCGTGGCATATTCAGACGATGAGCAATCTGATGATTGGACAAACCCTCTTCATGTAAGGTCACTATTCTTGCCCGGTCAAAATCAGAAATCGGATTACCTGGCATTTTACATACAATTTTATTGATAGTTTTGTTTTGTAAATAGACTTACAGCAAGTTCAAAATCTTTTTTGTTATTAAGAAAATCCTCAAATTTTCTTAGGTCTTCTAAATTGTCCAAGGGAAAGTTCAGGTCCAAAGTTTCATAAAATGTCGTTTGGGGTTCTTCATTTATTGCACTTTTGGTTTGATTGTAGTTGTTCTTTATTTCCTTTATTTCAGAATAAATATCTGTTACCATGTTTTTGATAAGATGACATTGGGTAACTATATTTTTTGTTCTTCCATCATCGCCTTATAAAGGTGTAAACATATGTATATTTGCAAATGTTTATTAAAAATTTAGTAAATTAACTTACAAATCTTTTCTTTAGTTTGTCCTAAAACAAAAAGGGCATTTAGGGTAAAAATTTACACTAATAATTACTAAAATAATTGGCACAAGTTCAGTTTAATGTTTTAGTAAAGTTACATATCTATAAAGTTAATGATAACAATAATTTAAGAATTTTAACATTTAATTATTTTATACAGGGTGTCCCATAATTAGCTTGCAATACTTAAACAGGAGATTTTACATACAAAAATAAGAAAAAAGTTTCTATAAACGTAGGTCGAGAAATCCTTTACCTTGAGATTTATTCTTAGTTTCTATTTGATTGTTATTGGATTCTTCATCTGTCTGACTTTGATTGTTTTCATATTCCTCATCTGTAAATAAATATTATTTTATCAAAATTATGTATATATATATATATATATATATATATATATATATATATATATATATATGTATATATATATGTATATATTTGTAGAATGCAATATTTCCTTAACTTCTATTTCATAACGTGAAATCCTATAGGTATCAACTTGAGCCTTATCATGAATTGTATTGAATTTTGCTCCTAAAAATAAATATTTAGGTATTTACTTTTCCAGTCATAATATTGATGTATTTTTTACCTGATATTGAAGGTTTGACATTTGGCATAACTAATTTTGGAGGAGGGGGCAACTTATTAGGTAACTTTAGAGGCAATTCATCGGAGTCTGGTTCAGAGTCACTTAATATTTTTCTTTAAGGTACTCTCTTTTTAACCTGAACTTAAGTCACTTGTTTTTTCCGCAACCCTGGCCTTTTGCCTAGCCAAAGAGTAGGATTCTACAAAAAAAGCAGAATTGGGTTTTAGACAAGAAAATAGTAAAAAAAAATTATAAAAAACTTACCATAGGTTCCATTTAAAAATGTTCTGATTTTATGGCTTGGCCAATCAAAATTTACTGGATCGTTTTTTGAAATTGATGAAGTGTTTTTCTTTTTGGTTGCTACTGGATAATAGCATAACTCTCCAGAAATCCAGCTTGTAGGAACAGCTTCAACACTGTCTTCGTCCAGGAAGAACACCACTGTCCAAGTCTTTTGGCAGCTAGCTGACGCCATTTTCAGCAATGTGATTTACAATAACCAGTTACTTAACTAAATTAATAACTAAAAATACCTAATATTATATATTTTTTTAAAATTATATGCCCTATAAACATTTACATGAGGCAGATGACTACTTGACAAAAGAAAATAATATGTTTATGAGCATGTTTAATGATAGATGGCTAACTAGGAAAAATAATTTATAGGTAGGTAGCACTGATTTAAATTTAAAAAAATAAGATTAAAAACAAATAAAAAATTTAAGGGTGGTCTCGAAAACGGTTTTATTATCAGGCAATCCAAAACAGCTCAGGTGGGAGGAGAAATTTTAGGTTAGAATTTTTTTTGACATTTGTTTTAAGCCAAAAGGGTCATTTTTGGTAGTGTGTTTAGGATTAGTTTCTTTGTTTACCTCGTATGATTCTGAAGTTGTTCTTTCTGGACAAGGAGAATTAAAAAACATAATGAAACCTGTAGGAACCGAAACTTAAAAATGCTAGGTTAGTTAAAAGTAAAACAAGTAAACGTCAAACTGATGAAAAATTTTTATTGATAATGTCAAGATGTTAAGTTTGTTGTCACCACCAATCACTTGTAAATGTAATTTTATACATTTACATTTAATTTCTGAAGCACTAAAGCTGCATATTTCACTTAAATTACTAGCTAAAAAAATTCCAAGAAATAAAGATTCTATTGGTGTGGTATAAAAATTTTCTAAAATTTGATATTTTTGGCCGATAATTTTGATATTATGACACTCAGTTATATTTTTTATCAAATAAATATCCCCATTTTTTAATACACAACAGTTGTTGGGCTCGGTTATGTACAATTCAAAGTTTGGATAAATAATTTTTTTGTATTGGTTTATATTTAAGGAATTACCTAAAAGTGGGCCATTGAAGTGTTTATTGGTTACATAGGGATTTTTGTTTTGTTTTTTAGAGTTTTGATACATTATTTTATCAATTTCACTTTTCCTTTTAACAATTTGAGTTAATGGTCTGTGACTTTTATGAACCATCTTAATTATAGTTTGCATATAATTTTCAAAGGAAAAGGCACTAAAACTGTCCAAAGGTCCCAAATTTTTAACATCTTGAGCAATATGTAACAAATTATGTATATTATGGGATACATTTTCAGGTTTATAAAGGGTTGTAAATGTATCCACAAAATATTTTAGCAAAGAATCTGCATATTCAATATATTCAATATATTCTGAGCTTGAAAGCAATGTGAGAGCAACATGAAGGGACAAAAAGTTCAAATACTTATCATTGTCCAAAATATTTAATAAAATAAAAATTGTCGGAACTCTGTTGCTTTCCATCTTTTAGCCTCCAAAAGAGAACGCGGCTTTCTATTAAACTCAACTGAAATATTGACAGACTGACTTAAGAGTTGAGTTGAAATTTCCTTAAGCTGTTGATATGATAATCTTGAAGGAGGGTGTCCACATGACCGCATTGAAACAATCAATTTTTTTACTACACCCAGAAAAATCAGATGCATGGGATCTAAGGGAAAGTTGTCAACCATATTTAAAAAATGAATGTTTTCTAGTAAAGAAGTCCCTGTGTGATGGTTTTCTTGCAACTTGGCCCTATATTCTGGGTCAGTCCTAAGCTAAAGATTTTTGCAATAAGGAAAGCATACTCTATTATTTATATAATCTCCTTCAAACTGACATTTAGTGCAAGATGCATAACCTGAATGTCCTTTGCAATAAGTAATGAAAGACTTTGCAGGAGCATCACATATAAAAGCTGAAATTCTTACTGTATAGTGTGTATTGTTAAATACAATACCATGAGTAATTATATTATTTATATCTTCTACAAAATCTTTAAGAAAGTTATTTGCAGAACTTGGTTTATCATAGCCATGATACACACCAATCATGTCAACAAGGTTTTTATTTTTTTTAAGCTACAAAGAATTGGGTACACTTGGCTGCTGGAAGACTTTGCTAATGGTAAACCGTCAACATTTATAAAAATTTTAAATTCAGAGCAATGTTGAATTAAATTAATCAATTTTAGCATGTTTTTTCAAACAACATTTTACACCAAAATGAAAATAGCTTCCAGGCTCCACAGACTTAGTGCGTACCACACGTAATGTATTTAAGAGTGCTCGGGCATTACTGGGTAAGGTATTTGGATGTAAAGGTTTTAAAATACTAAGTAAACCATTAATTGGTTTACGTTATAATGTATTGCCCATTGAGCTAGAGATTCTGAGAGAATAGAAGGCGATTCTGGGTTTAAATTATTAGTGGATGATTGACTGCCATCTATTAGGAGTTGTTTTAGGTAATAATTCAAGTGACCCATTAAAAAATGCATTAATTTCAAGATTATTCTCCGATGACTGGTCTTCAAGCGGATTTTCATCTGGTGATGATTGGTTACTATCATATACCATATTTAAATTGTTGTAGGCTTCAGTAAAATCATTTAAAATAGTAGCATTTGATAAGGTTGCAGACGGAGAAGCTTTAAAAACTCCAGCTCCCGCCTGTGCTTGTCTCTTAGCACGCATATAATATTTTCCGGTTGGTGCCTTTGACATTTTTCCTCACCTCACAAGATTTACACTTTCACATAAAACAATGGTTCACTTTTTCACAATTCACTAATCAAAGCCAAACGAGAAAAATGGAGGACGACTGACAGATCGCGGCATCGATAACATCAGTGTAAAAACAAGCTAACGGCGTGGAGGATTAAATTATTTTAAATTTATGTCTTGAGAATAGCCCTTTCATTATATCGTATTGTATATCCTTGGTATATACCAAGGATATAGTAAAAGGACATTTACATACATCTATTTGGAGGATATCCCTAGTATATACGAGAGGTATATACTTCGTACGTCGAAAATGGTACATCCTAGGAATATACTTATAATGTCCTGGGACATACGCCATAAATAGGATACTTAAAGGATATCCTAGGGTTGCGCAGTGGTGGTAGTTTGGACTGAAAACGGCACAGCTCCCTACTTGTTTGAGTAGGGTGAACGTGGAATCATGACGGCGCATTTCCACTCGTTCGAATAATGATATTAATACCTATGTACAGGGTGAACAAACGGTGGTATTTAAGGAAAATTTAAGTAACTTTGTTACAGTGGCTTGTCATTATTTCAAATTAAGCCGTTAATTCTATAACGTTTTTATAAAGACAAAACCATTGTATAACAAAAACGCCATATTTATTGAGCGATCAATTGTTTATAAATCGCCGCCATTGTGTATTACCAACAAACGTTAAAACTGTCAATAAAAAACGAATTTTCTTGAAAAAAATTAAGGTAATATTAAGACTTGTCCATTATAAATAAACTGAACAAATAAAACAATAATATTCTTAAAAAATATAAAACTTTAACAAATAAAAAAAATATATTTTTAAATAATTTTCAGTAGGCGATTTAATTTTTCTTTCAAAATATATACATATATTGTCAGAAAATATTGCTCCGCAAGAATATTTTGTCCCCAGTAGCGTAAATCTCAAAGGTTTAATAATTATATTTACATAATAAGCAACAAGCACCATTTTGGATCTTAGTTCTTTGACATCTTACATAATTCGCATTATAAAATAGATAAAAATTACCCACTCCATTTCAAATTTTTAGAGCAGGAAACAAATTGATCGCATTCGTAAAGTGCAATTAAGCTGCAGAATAAAACCGCTATAGTATAATCGTATAGCAGTTCCCCAGTACTGATGTAAATTTGTTGTATAGGGAGTCCTGAAGATATACTTATTGTATAGTTTTATAACTATCACACTGTACAGTTTTATAAGGGTTGTGTATTTTATTTATAGAACTGCTAACAAAGTAAACTATTTCATAAAACGAGGCCGTTTTGGTTGTATTTTTTAAACGCATTATACAATTTTAGCGTTTCTATAATATATGTTGTATAGCAGTTCTAACACTTACATAATAAATTTTGTTAGCTGGGCTCCTACGGAAAAAAATTGGAAAGCAATTTTCATTGTTAAAACTAAAAATATATTTTTCTACTCCCACCTTTAAAACGCCCTTTATCGTACATGTTTTCATGACACTAAGTGACGTTTTAAATACACATTGACAAGTTGTGGCTTTACAGCGCTTTAGTCACGGGCTGAAGTTAGCAACAGGTTTTTAGTCACGGGCTGAAGTTAGTTTTAAGTTAGTTGACAGTTGTCAAATGTCATACAATCGTTAAAATAAAGTTCTTTTCTTGTAAAATAATACTATATGTGAAAATTATTTTATTATCTCAATACAAAAATACAAAAATATTAAATAGTTTCTTAACGCCAATATTTGAAAAGTTTATATAAACATTGTACTGACCTTTTAATTTCGCCGGCAATAAACTATAACTTAAATTCGGGCACGGACTCTACTCTAAAGTCCTCATAAAACATTTCCTTTACTTTCACTGTGAAAAACTGTCAATTTTCAATATACATTTAGATTTATAACCTTTATAATTGTGTTTATAAAATGTAAAAATGTGACATTTGATAGTTTCCCCTGTTTTTTCATAGATGGCGCTCTATACAAATTTTTGATTTAAATCATTTTAAGATAATAATAAGTATTTGTCGTAGAAAAAGTATAGTATGCACCTCGTTTATAAACTTTTCTATACACTCATTAACTTAAGCACTCGCTCGCAAGCTCGCTCGTGCCTAAATTAAATTCATGTATAAAATGGCGTTTATCAAACTTGATACATAATATACTATTATATTTTCACGTATAACATATTTTGTGTCGTTAAGCATATTTGTGGTATCTCTGCGTACCAAACATCCTTAGGGAGTCATAATTCGCTGAGGTTATAAGATGGTAAGAGTATCTACGCGTACTAAACGGCAAAAAGCGACAATATCGGTAAGTTTCAATAATAGGCTAAACGGACAAAAAAACATGAGCTTGCAAGTTTACTATCACCTAAGTAAATTTATTTACATTGAAAAAAACGATTA